CCCCAAAACCCCAAAACCCCAAAACCCCAAAACCCCAAAACCCCAAAACCCCAAAACCCCAAGTGTATATTCTTGCATTGCAATTATTTATAAAATATTAAAATTAGAAAATGAAGAAGTTACAAGAGGAAAGCGATGCCGAAAATGTAATCTTTCACCTTGAGGACAAGCTAGGTCTAAGCTTTAATGAGTCTATACCCATTTGGCAACCAATGAGGGTGCTCGAAGGGAAATAGGGCTTATATTTAGATTTACTTAAATAATTTGTGCAATGACTTTTGGTCGCTTTCGATCGATAACTATTTTGTTTGCTTATAGCACAACCACCTTGAAATAGCCAGCGAGCAAGATACGAAAGAGATGGGTAATTCGATATAATAAGTATAGATATTACCGATGATGATATTGTCAAAGAGATCCATGGATTTTGGAAAACAGGAAGAGTTGGAAATTGATTTGCAGCTCTTTATAACAGTGATGGCATCCCTTATATTACAATCGGACCGAATTATCCTTTTTCAATAGCGATGGTAAATTTCTTTCTCACTCTGATAGTTTGTTGGAGCAATATTCTACCTTGTCATTGCCAGCTATGCAGTAAGCATAATAGGCTCTCAATTTTGGTACATTAAGCTCATTATACGATGCATTCAATGCATCTTCTTTGGTAAGCACATTCTTGTTTAATGGGATGATGGATTTTGAAGATTTCTAACTTTGATACCTTAATTACCCTGTACTGGGTTAGCACATTAACCTATAGTAGTATTTGAGCTACCATTATACAGGGAGCAGTAAAAATTCATCTCATTTCTCAATTTCTTCCAAATAACCATGTTAAAATGTGTTAATAATTTCTCTACCAAATAAAGACTACACCCATAATTGTGAATAATCTATTTCGATGTAATTTTCTACACTCTTACTTGAAACTCATTTGAAGTCAGATTTTATCTAAATTCACCTATTTCAAATATTACTGAATCTTGGGTCCTCTGTATTTTGGGCAAATTAATATCTGAAATTTTAGAAACTTTAGAATGCTCCTTTCAATAAAAATCTCAGCCATCATTCTGCGTTTGGTTTTGATGACTTTACTATCTTTTCAATGAGTAATAAATCTCATAAAACTTAAAATTCCCAATGATTGTAACAGCAAATTCTAGTTTCCTTGCTCACGACAGTGCTGATCAACCCTGGGACACCAAAGCTGAAAACTTCGAGAGAATACGATAAAGATATTTTTTGCGAGTATTGAGAAATAATCAGCGAGCATCCTACAGCTCACTGTGATGTCTGTGGAGTCTGAGTCCAAGGCTATGACCATCATTGCCCATGGATGGGTAAATGTATTGCCCAAGGCAATATCTGCCCCTTTAACCTGACTTTGGTAACCTTTGTGATCTCCTGGCTCTGTATGATCCTTACTTGGCTCATAGTTGTCATGCCAACTTTCTTGAAGAAGCCTGAACACAAAATGTAGAAATTCAATCAAGATTTTGTTTGCAGGGGTTTTGGGGTTTTGGGGTTTTGGGGTTTTGGGG